TTTATTACACGACTCGGGCAGTCAGAGGGCCAATAACTAAAATCAACCAATCAAAATGCTCTATTGCCGGTCAATATTCTCTCAGTATTGGACCGGGCACTGTCCCGAATGGTCCCGAATGATACCGCACTTGTGTCCCTTTGAACTTCAGTCGTATAATAAATCTCTTATTAACCAAGCTTGCTCGGGACCGTACTGGAAGAATATCGGCCCTCGGTCTTTTTTGTACGGACCTCGCTGCGCTCGGTCCGTACTCTCAAGACCTCGGGCCGATATTCTCCCACCACGGCCCTCGCGCTCGGTTAATAAGATATATGTATTGTCTATCCTTACTGATTCACCCAGGCTGAATTCCTGGCATTCAGTGTAATGCCTGAGCGCATCTGGGATTTGTGACATATTTAGCTTTTCAGTTATTTTCAATATAGGGAAGTGTTGTCTATCTTTTCTGGTTCACCCAGGCTGAAGTCCTGGCATTCAGAGTAACGTCTGAGCACTTCTGGGATCTATAACATACTTAGTTTTTCATTCATGGTTAATATAGGGAAGTGTTGTCCATCCTTTCTGGCTCACCCAGGCTGAAGTACTGACATTCAGTGTAATGCCTGAGCGATTCTGGGATATATAACATACTGAGCTTTTCATTCATGGTCAATCTAGGGAAGTGTTATCTATAATTTCTGGTTCACCCAGGCTGAAGTCCTGGCATTCAGTGTAATGTCGGAGTGCTTCTGGGATATATTACGTAGTTAGCTGTTCATTTATGGTCAGTCTAGGGAAGTGTTGTCTATCCTTTTTGGTTCACCCAGGCTGAAGTCCTGTCATTCAGTGTAATGCACAATTCTGGGATATATAACATACTTAGCTTGTCATTCATGGTCAATCTAAGGAAGTGTTGTCTATCCTTTCTGGTTCACCTGGGCTGAGGTCCTGGCACTCCGTGTAATGCCTGAGCGCTTCTGGGATGTATAACATACTTAGCTTTTCATTTATGGTCAATATAGGGATTTGTTGTATATCCTTTCTGGTTTACCCAGGCTGAAGTCCTGGCATTCAGTGTAATGCCCGAATGCTTCTAAGATACATAACATAGTTAGCTTTTTATTCATGGTCAATCCAGGGAAGTGTTGTCTATCCTTTCTGGTTCTCCCAGGCTGAAGTCCTGGCATTCAGTGTAATACCTGAGCGTTTCTGGGATATGTGACATATCTAGCTTTTCAGTTATGGTCAATATAGGGAAGTGTTGTCTATCTTTTCTGGTTCACCCAGGCTGGATTCCTGGCATTCAGTGTAATGCCCGAGTGTTTCTGGGATATATAACATAGTTAGCTTTTCATTCATCGTAAATCTAGGGAAGTGTTGTCTATCCTTTCTGGTTCACTTAGGCTGAATTCCTGGCATTCAGTGTAATGCCTGAGCGCTTCTGGGATATATGACGTGAAGAAATTCTTGTGACTCAAACTTTTCTGCTCTTTGAGCTCTTCACCTATCTACAGTAGAGCGACGGGAATAAACGGTTGTTTGAGACAAAATTTGAAAGACAGCTTCATTTACTGCTAGAAGTCACCCTTCAAACCGCTACGGGAAGAGAACGTCAAAACACAAAATGCTGCCAAAAAAAGAATATTAAATAAATCAAGGCAAAACAACAGCTGGTACATTTTTTTTGTGAAGTTAGATCGTGAAAAAACCAATGGGACGTTTTTGTAGGACGTACACACACGACGACGACTCATTTCCTGACTAACTGGGCAATATGAGTTAATATTAAGTATATGAAACAGCACGAAATAATGCGCACAGCCTCAAGTAATCGATATACCGTATTTCCTTGAATAGGCGCCTACCCCTTGGCCATCTAAACTTGTAGCTCTGAATAAGCGCGACACAGGAACCCTTTCTTTTTCAGCTGTCATAACATTTTAAACTTTGACTACCTTAGATGAACATGTCAGGAGAGATTCTTTCTTGAAGAGCTATATTACGCCGGTAAATTACCTTGCCTTTTTATATGGCTGGCTTCACAAGCGGTGCAAGAGGCAGCGAATTCTGTGAGCTGATTGGCTGTTAGTCCTTCCTTTTTACCCGTTTTCGGCGGTGGCCAGCATCGCAGCCATATTGTCCTTGTGTAATCTGCAGGCAAGCTATCTTTTGGCTCTCAACGCTTGACTCGGGTTTGAGTCCTCGTGCTTTGTTAATTACGCATTACTGGATCTACTACCGCGCTCCATGTTAATTTTCAAAACGACCCTGGCGCACAACGCCTGACTTATTTACAGTTGGTTTTTTGGAAAAAGGTAACGTCCCACCCCTCTCAAGGAAGCTTTAAGAACGGTGTCCACGAGCGCACCGGGAAGTCGGGATACATGCCATCTCACCGATTTCAATGAAACTTTGCCAGTTCAAAGGATCTACCCCAAAATTCAAAATGGCAAACTGGTTTCTGCTTTCGTTATTTCCGGTAGGGAGATAAACCACCCCCCCCCCCCGTTTTTTTTAGGTTTTCACTAAAACATGGCCTCAAAATAGGTAAAGTGTAAGAAGCTCTTACTGCAACCATATTTAACAAATTACTGTGACGGTTTACATACATATTGGTACATCCTTAATAAACGTACGATACAAGTTTCAATCGATTTCATTGACGGCTTGTCAATCAAAAGAGGTGGATGAATTAGTGTGTTTTTACACTTTTCGATTCACTCAAATATTTTGTAACTTTGAGGTCAAATATCTCTCCTTACCGGAAAGCTACAACACTAATTTGAACGCCACTTTCTCGTCCATTATTTCATCTCTGGAATTCATTAAAAAAAAGCTTTGGGCACTGCCATATTTTTGTCTGGAATGCCTTTTGAAATCTGCCACTGTGAAAGCGTCTCTCAACTACACCTGTCACGCAGTTCTAGCTGTAGGCAGTTATTTAGGCAAGTATACCATCATTTTATAGCTCGTTAAACAAGATAATTAATCATGGAAGCTAAGAAATGTAAGCAACTTTCCAGATTCTTTGTAGAAATTGGAGATTTCACGTTTAAAGAGAAGCATGTAGGGGAAATATTGATGGGAGAAGCGTACCGTTTCTCCCTTCTGTCGTTTATTTTGGAGATTTGCTAAAAAGAAACAAATATGGCTTTCTTACGGTAAAAAACATTTATTAGTCTTTGATCTGAGTTTTTATTACCAGAATTTAAAATCAAGAGATTGTAACAGGAGAGGAGATTTTAAAGTCATGCCGCGTGCTTGTTAACACGCAAGTTCTCGAGTACAATAACTTCGGCTTTTACATACAGTGGATAACGAGAAAATCTGCTGTCTCGCTTGAGAGGAGATATCAATAGCTCTATCAAGTTCATAAATTGCGTTATTTCTCCGGAAAATAAGACTGGGAAGTGTTGTCGTTGCCACTTACCTCCACAATGAAATTAACACGAAAAAATGGTGTTTCTAGCGTGACCTCGTTACCTTTCATAATTATCAAGCCCTTTTTCAAGGTAACACCACCAGAATGTTATGTAACCTTTATCATTTCTGGGCTCCCTCTTTAAATATTTTTTAAGAACAATATTTTTCCTGAATGTTATGGCCTTTCCTGCGTGAATGTGCAGCGAGATGTTATACGGCACTCTTGGGGGTTTTGTTGGGCAGTGTTGGGCTCATGATCAGGTGTCTAGGTCTCGTTTAAAACATTTCTGTATACTGCAAATGGGCCTGCAACATACACTTCCGCTGCTTTTTTATCACCATAATGCAAACAACATTTTTTTGCCGGGAAACTTTTGTAAACAATAAACTAGACCCGTTACATGTACGAGTACGTGATGTGATTGAGGGTTAGAGATGTTATCGTGACCCCAAAGACATCCATACACGTTGATGTAACGTCTGAAAAATGTCACGCACGTACAACACCTTAGGCCCCGTTCAGACTAGGTACCCGTTCCGCGGCACCGTTCCCGGGCACTAAAATGGACGTTGTCTAGACACCCCAGTGCCCCGGACCGAGGATGTTCACGCTCGCGCAGAAGGCTTGGTGCTCAGTGCATCTTTTTTAGTACTCTGCAGATCAATAGTCATGTGTAATTCACGTGTTGTCGTTTACTGTACTCAAATCTGTACATATCTAGCGGCTTGCTATCTTTTGGTGATTGTTTTCTTCTAAAACAGCTTCAATTTCTGTTCAAGAGCTTCAGGATCAACTTGTTTTGAGCAATGTAAAAACAACAATATGTTTTGAAACAAGAAACAAACTCCATCGTTTTATCGCAATGAGGCACACCGAAAACGATCGCAGTGTATGGGCATTTCCAAGGATCAGCGGTGTTTTGGAAACTGAGTTTATGAACTTAAGCGAGCAAAGATGGCTTGAGAGTTATCGAGTTCCCAAGCGAACATTCCAGCAACTTGTTCATTCATTGCAAGGTGTGGAACGTGCAGCAACAAGAATGAGAAGGCCAGTACCTGTAGTCACCATAGTTGTAATGCTACTCAAACGACTTGGAAAAGGTCTAGACTATCGAGAAATCGGCGACGAATTTGGAGTAGGGGCTTCAACAGCTGGTGAAAAAGTAAACACTGCGATGTGGTTTTTAATAGAAACGAAAAAGTACATGATAAGTCGTTTACAAGAGGGCAGAAATTCGGAAGTAATTATAGAGGGGTTTTTTATAAGATGGAACTTTCCACAATGTGTGGGTGCCATTGATAGCACTTATATTCCAATTAAAACCCCTCAGAACCACCACACTGACTATTTTAACAGAAAGTCATTCCATTCGGTCATTGTACAGGCTGTTTGTGACAGTGAATTTTGCATAACTGATATTTGTGCTGGTTGGCCAGGCAAGGCTCATGATGCACGTGTACTCAGTCGCTCAAAGATTGGAGAAAAATTGATCAATGGGACTGTGGTAGCAGGCCACAACACGTTAGCGAGAGACATAAATGGGACGGCTATTGAACCATTTCTTGTTGGGGATCCAGCATACCCTTTCTGTAAACATCTAATGAAAGATTTTACTGGATCCAATCTTTCGTCTGAAAAGGAATATTTTAATTACAGATTAAATTGTGCTCGTATTCAGATTGAGAGAACATTTGGTTTGTTAAAGGGGAGGTGGCGTTGTCTTCTCATCCTTTGGAATGTGATCTGGCAAATGTAGTTTAACATATAATTGCTTCATGTATACTGCACAACATATGCCAAGAGGGAGATGCAGGATACCTTGAAGAATGGGATAGCAGGGATGCTGAGGAAATGGATGAGCTACCAGCACTTGGTCCTCTTTCTGATGATGTGGGTGTTGGAAATGCTCAGCTGATAAGAAGTGTTTTATGTCAATATATAACAGAGAATTAAGGATGATGCCAACAGTAGTCAACTAATTAACTGTTAGAAAAATTACTTCCTCTCTGTTGCAATAAGATGTGCAAGGTTGCAAACATTGGTCAATGGATGTAAGAATAGTCATTTACAGTATTTCTAAAATTTGTTGTAGCCAAAAGGCTTATGTTCATGTTCTACTTTTGACAACAGTTAATATAAAGTTTACAAGTTTTTTCAGTTACTTTGTTTGTTAGCTGTGAAGCACTATTCCCATAACAGAACTGTTTTTATGGTCACAGTAAGCCCATGTGAGATAACTCTTGTGAGACAGATGAGGGTAATTATGACATGTCATTAGAACCTCTAAGGTACCTAACCCTAATATTGTTCATTTTAGCCCCATAAAGTTATTTTTACCACAAGAAAACAGCTCCCTTGTTATTTTAGATGCGTCAGAATTTTGCATGTAAGTGGTAATACTTTTTGTGTGAGAACAATCATTCAATTAACAAGATGCCAAACGCTTTTTAATAGTGATTTAAGACATTTTAAAACAAGAACTGAGTCAGTTCCCAGCAGAGAGTGAGAGAGAAGAGATGTGAATGCAATGAACTGTTTTAATCTATGTGGCAAGGTGGACACTTCTCTGTTCTCAACCAAATTCTAGTTGTTTTCTGTCATTCATCTCTATATGAGACAGACACTTTATACAGAATTTAGTGTATATATTATTAGTAATCATCTACAAGAGAGAACTAATGACATACATTTCTCATCCATTATTTATTTTGCATTTCAATTTTCAGTATGAAACAACATATCCTAAAAAGGATTAACTATACTGCTTTACAAAGGAACGTTATAACAACAACAACTAGGTGACCTCCAGGCTATCAAGATAGCCTTTGAAACGGATAACAAGAATTAAAACAACGTTATCACTATAACACCACTGTTCAATGGTCAACACATTCACTCTACAAATCAGGCAGTGTTGGTGTCTCCCTGTCAATGTATGGTGAAGAGCATCTTGAACTACTCAGAGGTGGAGTATGCCTGTCGCTGTAATATGGTGAGGAGTGCACTTCATGCTGAGGCATAGGATGCAGTGGATGTTATGTTACTTGGGGTGGGAATGAATGGAAAAGTGGTCACTGTAGATTACAAGTACCCCCATGCACCTTTATTAACATCTGCGTCATTCCCATCATTGCCTGGGAAAGGTTTCCAAACATTTCACGAAAGAATTCTCTCACGGTCCTCTCTTCTCTCAGCACTTCGTATCTCTGGGGTGATGACATTTTGAGATATTGTTTCCCTCAACTGTTCCATTTGTTCATTTGATTGTTGAAGTGCATCAGCCAGGCGTGGTTTCTTACGAAGGGGTGTTTTTGAAGCTTTTCTTTGCTTTGTTGTGGTTTGGTTTTCCTCTGATGGGTCAGGCTCTTCACAGCTTGCTCCATCTATGGCTACAGTGGATTGATGCTCCTCCTAAACTTGACTCTCAAACACATGACCTTGTGGAGGGTCATTCACTGGGCGAGAACCTAAAACCAAGAGGTTAAGAGTACACCTTTGAAATGTGGCAGGAATATAAGTTTCCAAGAGATGGGGATACGTGGTAGAAAGGTAGGAAATAGGGGGGAATTTCAAAATTCTTCAGTGGCAATTCCCCTCACTATTTTACCACTGGAAATCAGCATAGCCCATTTTTTAAACTTGTAATAAAAAAGGGTAACATTTGTCAACCTCCTTGAAATTTTTTTTATACATTTATGGGTGCCACAAACTGATTAAAGGTACATTGAACAGGAAACAGTACTGTACACTAGTTATAGTTCTCGGGGAAAAAAATCTCTCACCAAATGTGTGGGTGGACTATAAAATACCTTGCAAAGAATTCTACTTAGTGCTTATTGAACTAAACTTATCACTTAAGTACCGGTAAAAATGCGATAAAATGGTCTTTGTTTTCGTCGTTCAATAATAATAATATAATAATAATAGTTTAATATTTGTAGTGCGCAAATTCCATTTACATATGATCAAATGTGCATAACAATTACAGAATATAAAAACTACATCAGATAATATTCTCACCAAGAATTTGATCCAAGCGGTCCCAATGCTGGAAGGCAACCTTTTCAAGTGAGGTAAGGGCACTTGTTAAGTAAGGTCTTTCTGCACCAGGTGATTGCATCCTAGCTTTTAATTTTCCATAACCGCTTCTCAACTTCTTAATTTTGTTTTCGATCTGTTGTGTCGTTCTCTCGATACCACTCTCCTCCTTCATGATCTTTTGAATTTCTTCGTTGACATTTTTATTGCTCGCCATTCCTTCGATGTAGTCTTGAACTCTTTTCTCGCTGTATGCGTCAAGCAAAGTAATGATTTCTTCGCTTGCCCACCTCGCGGCTGCCGCCATCTTGGTGACTGCCTTGTAGGGAAGCATGGGAAAAAAACGTGGGAACCACCAACAGCGTGTTCAGACAAGTTCCCGTGCCCGGGAACGGTGCCCGAGTACTACCCTTGGAGGTAGTGCCCGTGCCGGGGCACGGTGCCCAGATTTTTGCACGGGCACCAACAAAAAGCTATGTTCAGACCGGTGCCCTTTCCCGAGTGCCGGACACAGGCACCTAGTCTGAACGGGGCCTTAGGCATACCCTGCGTAGTTGCGAATGCCTTCCGTTTGCTTCTCCAAGTCTGGGACCTCCAAACACATCACGTAATCATGCATGTAACGTACAAAAAATTTCACTGATGCACAACATCATGGGGATACCGTTAACGCCTGCTTCACACTATGCGCACAGCTCCAAAAAGAGAGATATAAATAAGTAGGATTTACCATACTTGTAAAAACTCCTTGATGAAGTCTGCTATTGTCAGACGAAACGCGTAGGAGATTAAATCAAGTATGCTCACTAATTTATCATTCAAAACAAAAATTCCGTTAAAAAAAATAATAATAATAAAACTGTCATCTTGCTCTTAAGCCGGGTGGAGTCAAGAGCTGCTATGAGTGTGTCAAGTTTAGCCATCCGCACAAGCAATGACCAACAGCATACCATGACTGACCTCGTACGAGAAAAGAGGCTTGAGAATGTAGTGTGCTTATGATATTGGATATGGAAAGTTTTATAGCGCAGACTAGCTGGCATGGTTTGAAACACCCCAAGGCTCCACTATGCTCGTCACAAAGGAAACCTTCAGCAACCCAAACGTGGAAGCAGGTAGTTATCTGCATCCTGCGCAGATGTCTGAACCTAGGCCTTCACGAGAACTACCCAATCCTAACCTTCTTCTTCTGTCTCTGACGGGCCGTCACAGACAGAAGAAGAAAGCTAGGATTTTCCTGTCAAGAGGAAAGGTGTATCACATGACAGGACGGAAAATGCGTGCACTGTAAGTACCACTGGTTGTCCCATACAAAGCCTTAGAAAACTTTTCTAAGGCCTTGTCTGGGAAAACGGGAAGTACTTACTGTGCACGCATTTTCTGTCCTGTCATGGGTGTTTCAGTAGGTTGCTGCACTCCAAATGCACCTTGACATCGGCAAACACTTGGTGACGGCTGACAAAAGAATCCGTCTACAACACGATCATGAGAAAATGGATGGAGACTGTCCATTGCGTTGGTGTTGGCTACGTTCATGGTCAGACCTAACCCGATGCAAAGATCCGGACGAACAATCCCAGGAGGACCTCGGACGGGCCCTTCGGAAAACACCGAAAGTAGTTACCTTCTCTCAGAAAGCAAAGAATTATCTCGTTGACGTGTTCTGGACAGCGGAGGAAACTGTTAAGAAGGTAACAGCCTCAGATATCGCTTCCCAAATGAGGAGTTTAAGAGACGACACTGGCCAGAAAATATTCTTCAAGACTGAGTGATTGACAGAGAAGCAGATCGGTCGATACTTCAGCCGACTCTCTGCCCTAACCAGAACTGGTTTACTGCAGAGGTCCTCCGCTGAGGACGAAGAGGCTGATGCAGATGATCTAGCCTTAGACGTCGAAACTGATCAAACAAGGCAGAAGATTAGGCGGGACCTTGAACTCTAGTTTATTCATTTGTCCTCCTTCATTTGCTAGCTACCGGAGGTAGGCTTTTTATGAATTGCGCATTATAATTCGTTGTTCAATTTGAAAGCAAAAAGAGCTCAGCTAATCGTGAGAATTTATAGCTATTTTTTTAAGTTCACAGTTAGCCCATTCAGATTCTCTAGAAGTCCACACCTGATTCAATTTTCGTACCTTTTTAGCAGATGTGAAGCGGAAAATTTAGTCGAAGACCTCAGAGTAGGGCACAGCTACCATCAATTTACAAAAAAAAGATCTTTGCCTCTCGCTTTTCATTCAAATTTTTGTCATGCTTCCGAAAACAACTAGAGATTTTTCGAATTTTTTTCATCACCACCGAACTTGAATGGAAACCTGCGCAGAGCCTAGTAATCAAAAAAATACAGCCTCATTTTTTAAGTCAAGGAATTTACGATCGAGCTTGAGAGAGATTCATATTTTATTCATGTAGTTACGGCACGTTTTAAGAAAAATCCAGATATTTTTCTTGATCAATAAGCAAGTAAATAGCAAAGAGATCTGCAGAACTTTCGAAAGTTGTTCTTCTGCAGACAGCGTGAACAACGCGCTTGAATAATTCGTATCCCTATTAAACGTTTCCAAGCCACGCCACAAATACTCAGTTCTGCAAAGTTCTGCATGGAAATGTTCCATAGTAGTAAGTGACAACGATAACACCATTCTAGTTTTATTTTCTGGAATAACAGCGCAGTTTCTTGATTTAAAATAGCTACTGAAATTTCCCTTACAGCGAGGAGGCACAGCTTCCCGTCTGTGTTGCAAACGGAAACTTCAATGTCAAAAGGAATGCGGCATGTGACTTTAAAATCTCCTCTCCTGTTACAATCTCTTGATTGTAACAAATCAAAGACTAATAAATGTTTTTTTGCCGTAAGAAAGCCATCGTTGCCTCTTTTTAGCAAATCTCTTTAATAAACGATAGAAGGGAGAAACGCCACGATTCTCCCATCATTATCTCGCCCACATGCTTCTCTTTAAACGTGAAATTTTCAATTTCTACCAAGAATCTGGAAAGTTGCGTACATTTCTTAGCTTCCTTGATTAATTATCTTGTTTAACGAGCAATAAAATGATGGTATACTTGCCTAAATGACTGCCTACAGCTAGAACTGCGTGACAGGTATAGTTAAGAAAAGCTTTCACGGTGGCAGATTTCAAAAAGGATTCTAGACAAAAATATGGCAGTGCCCAAAGAATTTTTTCAATCACTTCCAGAGATGGAAGAACGGAAAAGAAAGGGGCGTTCATATTAGTGTTGTAGCTCTCTGCTAGAGAGATATTTGACCTCAAAGTTACAAAATATTATAGTGAATCGAAAAGTGTAAAAACACACTAAATTTATTCACCTCTGTTGATTAACAAGCAGTCAATCAAATGGATTGATACTTGTATCGTGCGTTTACTAAGGATGTACCAATATGTATGTAAACCGTCACAGTAATTTGTTAAATACAGTTGCGGTAAGAGCTTCTTACATTTTACCTATTGGGAGGCCATTTTTTAGTGAAAACCTAGAAAAACCGGGGTGGTTTATCTATCCCCCCTGAAATAACCAAAGCAGAAACCAGTTTACCATTTTGAGTTTTGGGATAGATCCTTTGAACTGGCAAAGTTTCATTGAAATCGGTGAGATGGCTGTATCACGACTGCCCAGTGCTCTCGTGGACACGTTCTTAAAAAATAGAAATTCAAGGACTTTCGAAGGATTCATTTGTTTTAATCACATTGTTTCTATAATGTCTGAGATATTTCGCAGCTATTTCGAGGATTCCAACACCAAAATAGATCATCTGAAGGCCAGTGACAAAGAATGCTATGAGTACTGTATGAATATAGTTTAAAAAAGTGGAACGGTGTGTAAACTATAAATGCGACATAAAATAGAAGTGAGAAAGAGCCGCCATGTATTGTGGACTCTGCCTTAAACAGCAAAAGAAGGTATAGGTTGTAATACGCTGAGTTCATTCCCAACATTGTTAATAGAGGAGCCGATTAGGAAACTCGGCGACCTTCAAAGGACCAAAACAATAGCGGCTCCCTGATGTTGAAATGACCCGTTAAGTGACACTCACCCTGCACACTCAAACGAAGATGGCGGGAGTATGAGTGATCTTTACCCCTTCGGGGAATATTTCGAAGCCATTTTGAAACTCCTAGAAGGCGATGAAGACTTGAAGAAGCAATTTGAAAGCTAAGTAAGTGATAAAAGTACAAATTCAGAAAATCTTTACTTCTGTTTCGGCTGGAGGACAGCAAAATTATTAAGTGCAACGCGAGCTCGTATGCTATGTAAACAGCATGTAGTTTCTCCCTTGAATATTCTTATTTAGTATCACAGGACGTATGTTCTTATTTTAGTGCCTTTAGGCAAAATCTAAAGCAGTCTTAAAGGTTGAGTAAAGCTTTAATCGTCTTTAATTGTCAAATGAAATATCCGAAAGCTAACTCTAACCTTTAATGAATCTTTAATTGAACATAAGTTTAACTTTAGTAGCGCAAATCTTTCAGTATCCTTTAAGTGGTTTCTTTTTTGGCACAAAAGAGGGTGTTTCATTAAAATGCATTTAATTTGACATTAAGGTCAGATTTAAATGAGTATAGCTGTTCTGACATCTTTAATTCATGCATTAAAGATAGTCTCATTGTAATCTGAACTGTCAACAGAAAATTCATCACAAATCAGCCAACACTTGCACTGATGAGCCAGAAGAGCAAATTTTGTTTTACGTGCAGCAACGTGAGCTCACAATTCTTTCTGGGGTCGAAACATCTTATTGAAAGCGACGGTTTCATTTTTGCATCTCCTTTAAAGAGCGCATGGAGTGCGATGACAAG